CTTAGGGTGGGCTTGTCTGTTCTCATCCCCCCCAGCTGTTTGCTCAGATTGGATGGGTTCCTTCCCTGGGAGCTGTTATTCCCCTCAATAGTGCAGGTAGACCCAGGTGGCTTAGCTCCTGCTGTAGTAAAAGCTGCCAATCACTGCTAAAAAAAGCTAGAAATGGGAAGATGAGGGAAGCCAGGGGGGTGGGAGAAGAAGGGTACAGCAAAATCCTGTAAAAACAACAACAACGAAAAGTTTCTGAAATAAAAGCCTTTTAAAACATTCTCTGCCTCCAGCTTTGTCCTAGATAGGCTCTTGGTGAAATTCTGCTCGGATCTTGTAATGCTTCCCTCCTCCTCCTGGGTTTCCTTGGCAGCCCCGGCCGAGCCGCTTGGCTGGTGGATTCATAAAGCCTCTCTGTTAGAACGTGCCTTCCTCCGGCCGCCGTTCCGCGGGGGCTGCTCCGCTCCAAGGGGCTCACCGGGGCAGCAAGGGCCGTGCCCGCGGCCCGGGGCCGCTCCCCGCCGAGCCCGCCCGGTGCCCGAGCGGCGGGGACGGTTCCCGGCTCGGCGGAGACTCGGAGCGGCCTCCGTGTGCCCGGGGCCGGCCGGGGCTGCGGCAGGAGGACGAGGAGGGTGTCCCGGTGCAGAGCGGTCCCCGGCGCGCCCCAGGGCCGGGCTCACGACGGAATGAAATTAAACCGCAGTGTTAAAATAGATAAATAAATAAACACCAGCGGGATAAACCAGGATGGAGCCGCAGGGCCGGGTCGCCCGCTCGCCGCGCCCGGGCTGCGGCCCCGCCGCTCACGGGCAAGCGCCGGTGCCCGCGGCTCGGCCCCTCCGTCCTGCCCGGAGCCTGCCCGGGGCTGCCCGTCCCGGTGGGGACCCGGCCGGTGTTTGACGCATTAGGACCGAGCCCCCCGGCCGCGCCGAGCCGAGCGGAGTCGCCGCCGGTGTTTCCTCAGTTTCCCCGAAATCCGGGCTCCGTCCCGCCGGGCCGCAGTCGGGAGGGTTACCTGCCGTGCCCCGGGCCCGGGGAAGGTCCATCCTCCGTCCTGCGCCCCGAGCAGCGTCCTGGAGCCCCGCCGGAGGAGGTGAAACCTCTGCTACAGATGTCCAGACACAATTCTTGGTTCGTACGGCTCCATCGCACAAGAATTGCGTTTGGACAATCAGGAGCGGAGATTCCCATCCCGGGCTCGCGGGATCTTCCAGGGGGAATCCGGCTGGAGCCTGGAAAAGAAGGACACACGGCCCCTGAGCCGGCTCCCGCCGCCCCCCGCTCCCATTCCCCGGCCCCGCCGAGCCGCTGCTCCGGCCCCGACAAGTTTCGAGCGCAGCCGCGGCGCTTCGCATCCCGGGTTCCATTTAATGGCACCGCGAGGGGTTTAATTTTATCAACTCGTTTCTTACCCCTTAAAAAAAAAAAAATTAAGAAAGATCAACCCCTATTAAAAAATAAAAAAAATTAAAAAATAAAAAAAAATAAAATAAAAAAAAAGAAAGAAAAAAAACTAAGCCAACATCAAGAAAAAAAAAAAGAAGAAAATAGGAAAAAAAAAAGAAAAAAAAGCCAGAAAACGAAAAACAGCGATCCATCCCCGCTGGAGCAGCCCCGGTGGAGCGGGGGCTCGGTGCGCCGGGGCTGGCGGCCGCGGCGGGGCTCGGTGCCTCCGGCAGCCCCGGGGCTCGGCGGGGGTGATGCTGCGGGCACAGACCCCGGCCCCGCGCTGCGGCCGCGCCGCTCCTGCCTCGGAGAATTCACCAATTCCAAACGGATCTCCCTCAAAATTCGGGTACTTTGAAAAAATCGCCGAAATTTATAAAAGCCCAACCGGAGGGGTGGGGGAGGACATTAATAATTATAATAAAAAAAATAAAGGAAAAAGATGAAAAATCCAGGCTTCTTCCCCAGCCCCTTCTCACCGACCGGCTCCCACGAAGTTGGGAGCAAATCCCCCCTCTCCAGACAGGGAAAATCCCGGCCCGCTGCCGGCGCTTCCCCCGCCGGTGCCGGCGCCGGTGGCCGTGGCCGCTCCGCGGCGGGGCCGGGCAGGTCCCTCCGGGGGAGGGCTGGGGGGCTGCTGGCGAGCGGCGGACCCCCGGCTGCCCGAGCCGCCCTCGGCCCCGGCGGCCCGCGGGGCTCCGAGTTTCCACGGGGCGCGGAAAGTGCGTCCCGCGGGGGCGGAGCGGGCGGCCCCCGTGGCTCGGCGGGGCACAGCGGCGGGGCTCCCGCGGCACCTGCCGCCGGCCCCGAGCCCGACCGAGCCGCCGCGGCTCTGCCCTGCTTCCTCCACGCCGTATCCACCCGGGAGGGTCCCAAATCCGCCCGGGAGGGATGCGCACACCGGGGCTCTGCGGGCTGCGCCGGGGCCGGGCAGGGCTTTTAGTTGAACGGCACAACAATAAATGTGTTGCAGAGCCGGCGAGAAAAGAATGGGGATGACCTTCAATTGGTACTGGATTTGAATAACACCACGGGGTGATAAATGCCCATTGTGTTTTAGGAGTAATGAATCTCCACTGTCTCTATAGCACAGAAACAGCAGCTGCAACCTGGAGCCAGCCATCTCTTAAAGACACAGCTCCCAAACCCCGGCCCGGCCCGCAGCCCCCGCACCGCCGGGACCGGGGCGCGGGGTTCTCTCTGCCCCGGGGGCTCGGTGCCCGGCCCCGAGGATGGTGCGGTTGGCCCCATTCGGGGTTCTGAGGGTTCCCCCCGAGCCGCCGGGCAGAGCTGGGGCTCGGGTCTCCTCTCACCCACTCGGTCCCCCTTGGGGAACCCCGTCGGTCCCGCTGCCGCGGCAGTGGAAGTGCCCGGGTACCCCGTGGGGTATGGGGTCACCTGCACCCCACCCTGGCCCCCCACGGCAGGGAAAGTGCCGGGGATAAATAATGCTCATTGTTTTCCCCTAATGAATATTACCGAGTTGCCAGGCCGGCAGCTGCGAGCTCCGGCCGGGGGAGTGGGGGCATCGCCTGGCTCTCCCCGCCTGGGGACCCCCAGCTCCGACCTGTCGGGGATCCCCGCAGCCGCGGAGAAGAGCACAGAGGTGTTCCCTGCCTTCACCCCACTGCTACCTGCCACCACCCTGGGTGTCACTGGGGTCCCTGGGTAGAACCGGAGTGGTCCCTGGGGGGTTGGCTGGGGGGGGTCCCCACTCCTCCTCAGCTCCCCCCGTGTCCTCGGATAGGGTTTGGCCCCACGGGGAGAGGGATCCGTGAGTGCTGGGAGAGAAACTCCGGCGGCCCCAGGGATACTTGGAGCAGCCCAGCCCCATGGAGCTGCAGGGTGACCCCAGTCCCTGCCCCCAGCCCTCAGTGATGTTCCCTGCCTCAGGCCTGGCCCCTGGAGCCCAGAGAGAGTGTCAGCGACAGTGTCAGGCCCAAATCCTGAGCAAGGATCAGTGGGGCAGGGATCTGCAACTGGGGACTGCTCTCCCACAGAGTCTCATTCTCACCCTGGGAGGTTTTGCCCACCCTGAAGAGGCATGAAGGTGTTCCAGGGCTTGGGGATAGAAACATCCCCATGGCCTCTGCCTCATGGGTCAGGTCCAGGAGGATGCTGAGCTCCTGCCACAGCCATGTGCCTCCCTCTGAAGGGTTCCCCTGCCTCCCCACACCTCCCTGCCAGCACTAGTAGCAATAAACCCACTTCCTACGAGTGTGAAAAATCAAAAGAGAGCCGGCATTTAATAAAAAGAAAAAAGAGCAGCAGCAGCAGCTGAAGGCCCCTGTGCTGGGTTGCAGCCATCGCCCAGGACCTGCCGCTCTTTGGGAAGCGGGAACCATCCGAGGGAAGCCCCCGGCGCTGCTCCGGGTGTTCTGGCATTGTTTTAGCCCCGGACCTGCAGGCGTTTTAACTTGCTTTAATTCCTAACGCTCCCCATCACCACCTTTTTTTTTTTTTTTTTTAAGTCTCTTTCCCAAATCTCGGCCGAGTTAATGAAGTTATGTGATCCTATAAATGTTAATTGTCTAAACTTCTTCTCCTCTCTCCCCCCCCTTTTTTTTTTTTTTTTTATCTCTCTCCTCCTTGCTGCTTTCTGCTCCACTTGTAATAAAGAAAATATCTTGGCTGGTCTTAGCCAGTTGCTTGGCAACCTCAATAGAAAAAAAGAGAACAGAATGTAACCAATCCCGAGACAACCGAAAGATTTTGGTGACATGTGACCTCTCGGAAAAGGGCAGCCTTAAACTGTCCCTTCTGTCCTTTGCTCTGACCATTAGGGTCTCTCGCCCTCCCCCCCTCCCCGGCTCCTTACACCAATAAATATGGATTAGTGAAATACTTTTTCCCACACTGATGAAAAGCCGGGATTGATCTTTCCACCTCCTTTATCTACCAACCTGACAAGTTTCTAAACAAAATTAAGAGGGAAGAGGCGAAAGGAGCCATCCCGGGTTGGGCGGCCGGGGACGGATCCTGCCCCGCCGTGGGGATGGGGGGTCCCCGACGGGGTGCTGGCGCCGGCTGTGCCGGGCTGGGTCTGCTCAGCCGCCGGCCGGACCTGCTCTCTGTGTGCCGGGGAGCCCCTCGCGTAGCACCAGTGGGTTAAGAAATAAAACGTAGCTTTTCTGACCCAAAAGGGTAAAAAACTAAAGCCAAGCCCTAGCCAAGCCCTGCCCTCCGTCGATGGGCGCCTGTGTGTCCTGGGGAGACCTGTCCCGCTCCTCACCGCGGAGCCCCAGCTCTCGCGGGCGCCTGGGGAAGTTGTCTGCAAATTTCATCCTGGAAAAAAAAAAAAAACACAACAAACCCACAACATGATGTCATTGGCTTTCTGGTGCATCCCGCCGGCGCCCCTCCACCTGCCGCCGGCCTCCGCTTGGCCATGAGCCTCGGCACGACCACGACGGTCAGCCCGGGCACGGCCGTGAGCCCCGGCACGGTGGTCGCTGATCAGGCTCCCGCCCTCCCGCCGGCCCCCCGGCTCTCGGCTTTCCCAGGCTCCCGGTGCGGTGAATGCCTCTTTCACCAGCAGTTCCCCTCTTCCCAAAAAAGCATCACCTTGCCAGCTCCCTTCCTCCCGCCAGCTGCCAGGAAAAAAAAATTAGGGCAAGGACAGGGAGCGAGAGCAAAACCAATGAACTTGTTTCCAGCTTTTCCTTCGGATCAGCCGTCCAGCAGCGGGAGAAAAATATTTGTCCTGTAAAAAAATCCCCTCTCCGTGCAGGCTCCGAGCCCTTCGTCACTGGGACACAGGCTGGAGACGCGGGCTCAGCTCGGCAGCAGAGGACACTGTAAGTTGGGCATCTGCTTAAGGAGTTTCCTGGCTTTTTTTGGGGCGGGGGGTTTTGCCACGGTTTGGGCTTGAGACCCCCAGGGACGGAGGAGGAGGGTCGGGGCAGGGGGAAGTTGCGAAGAGGGGGGTTTGTGGGGGGCACTGGCTGCGAGGTGTGGGCAGGGTGGGCACCGGCGCCGTGCCCGTGCCGGCGGTGGCCGGTGGTGCTGGGCGCCGGCAGCCCCGGGGTGCACAAAGCCCCTTTGAGCGGCTCACAGAGGAGCTGCTCATCCCTCGCCGGCCTCCCGGGAATGGCCTCGGGAGAGGAGAGTGGGACCCTGGCCCTGAACACCCGGGAGGGCCAACAGCGAGTGGGGGGGGCTCAGGGCTCTGGGGCTGTGTCTCCCCCGGGCTGAGGGATGGCTGAGCCCCAATCCATGGGGTGCCCACAGCCCCTCAGGATGGGCTGGTTCCTGGCCAGCCCCGCTGGCCGGGGAGCCGTGGGGAGCAGGGGGTGCTCCGGCTGTCCCACGTGGGGATGGGGGACTCACTCCCTCCCATCATGGGTCGTGGTGACACCCACGAAGCCACCAGACTGGTCACCAGGGTGGCCACGGGCAGGGCTGCGGTAGAGGCTGGGATGGAGAGTCTGTTGGGACCAAATGGAACCCAGTGGCACCTGCTGGCACTCGATGGGACTCAGTGGGACCCGATGAGATCCAATGAGACCCAGTGGGACCCGGTGGGCCCTGGCTGCCCTGCTGCCGAGGCCGGCTGGCCAGGCACAATACCACGGCCCCGCTCCTGAGCCGCCGCTGAAGCCCCTTTCCCAGCATCGAGCGCCTTTGTTTCGCCTTTGTGATGGAAAGAGCCCCCCCTCCTAAATCACGGCCCTGACACCCCCATTGTCTCCTTCCCGGGGAGGTTTGAAACTCTCCCCCCCCCCTCCCGAGGTCAGGAATGTGGCCGGTTTCTATTGGGACGGAGGAGCAGGGCTGGGTGGGGGGCTGCAGGGTCACGCCGGCTCGGCGGGTCAACCCGAAAACAAAACCTTTTGAAATACCTACTCTCCATCACTGCCAACATTGTCCCCTGCCAGCGGGGGCCTGGCACGGCCCCTCGACGCCTCCAGCCCGGCCGCTGCCCACCCCAGCGGTCAGCATCTGGGGGGGGACAGAAGGGTATTGTGCCGGAGGGGACAGCTTTGTTTTCGGTCACAGCTGCCCCGGGTTGGGACGGGGACCGACCGTCAGCCCTGCTGGGGGGGGGCAGACGAGGGAGGGGACGGAGGGGACAGGAGCACATGGGTCAGCACGTCGCAGAGGGGACCTGGCCCATCGGGCACCCCTCTGTCGCTGTCCCTCTGAGAGGGGCCAATGAGGGGGGACAGAGAGCAGCTCCTTTTTGTACCCAGGATGAAGCCCTAGGGTGTTGTGGCCTCTCCCTGCCCTGTAGGGCGGGGGCAGCCTGGGCTTGGCCTCCTGCCTCAGTTTCCCCTTGCTGCAGATGTCCCTCTGCCCACTGACAGGTGCCTCTGACACCTAGAGCCAGGGCACTGCTGGTCCTGATGGCAACAAGTGTGGTCCAGCCTGAGGAGAAAATGGACCATTCTGAGGCTGAACCAGCTGTGCCACCCAGGAGGATCAGAATTTTGGCCACTGCAGGGCTTGACCGTGGCTCCAAGCCTGTCAGTGCCTTGCAGGTGGAGCAGAGCATCCCACATGGACCCGGCTCCCTGCTCCCAGCAGGACATGAAGAGGGGACCCTGGGAAACCTTCACTCTCCCAGAATTTTGCAGCCCACCAGGAAGACCCCAGGCTGTCTCCCAATGGGGAGAGGGTTGGGAGAGACTGGCAACGTGTCATTGCTCCATTTACAGTGGCATGGATCTCCCTGTCCCCACCAGCCAGGAGGGAATGCTGCTCCTGTAAGCTTGCAGCTCCTCTGGCAGAGCATCTCTTGGGTGGGCCAAAATCCCCCCCGGGTGGCCAAAATCCCTCCCAGGATGGGCCAAAATCCCCCCAAGATGGCCTAAATCCCCCTGGATTCTTTTCTTTGTGGGAAGAAATGTGCTTTTTGCCTGCTGCAGAAGCAGCAAGGGGGAGAGCGGAGCAGTGCCATGGATGTGATGGATTTAGCAGAGACCTGGAAGGAAAACCCAGCTGGGAGGGGAGCACTGGCCTCCTGAATTACCCAACAGCTGGAAGGTGGCGAAAACAGCTGGAGGAGCTGGAATGGCTCAGAATGAGGGGCTTGCAGGGCAGAGAGCATGGTGGGTTCACAGGCATTCCCTTGGTTCCAGAGTCCTTGCTGTCCAGGCACCTGCTGTGGGGCTCGGGGGGGGGGGGCTGTGACTCAGTTTCCCCACTTGGGAACAGGGCTGGAGTTTTGAGGCTGGATGAGGTCTGGAGGGGCCAGCATCACTTGGCCAGTGTGGGAGTGGGGACCCTTGGGGGCACCATGGGCTGGGGCAGCCAGCTGGGTCCCCGAGGTGTTTTTTCTTGTAAAATAAGATCAATGAAAACTGCTGGTGGCTGAGGGACTTGTACCAGCCCCCAGCCATAAACATGCACACAGAATCTCTGCCTTTGTATATACATATATAATGTACCTACACACACATCTCTTCATATATTTGCTTTTTGCAGCCGAGGTTGAGCCTTTTAAAGCAGAAAAATATGACGTTTGAAGAACCTGAATGTTTTCAAAGGCTTTGCTGAAAATCCCAGAAAATTTTAAGGAAGTGGTGGAGAGAAGCAGGAGGGAGGTGGCCCAAAACCTCAGCCCTGGGTCCAAAAGCAACTCTTTCCTGTAAAAAAAGAAAACATACTCCTGTAAATGTTGCACAGCGCTGCTGTTTGCCCAGTGCTGTGGGGATGGGAAGGTGCTTTTCCAGGCGGGACGCTTAAAGGCCTGGTGTTGTCTCTGTGTTACAGGTGTCACCATGAGTCCATTGTGCCATGGAGGATGTCCTGAGCCCTGTAGGGACATCCTGGGCCCCTTGGGGATGCTCTGGGTCCTGTGGAGATCTGCCACCCGCCTTCCAGTGCTGCTCCTGGGACACAGGGGCTGCCACAGCCCTGTGCTAGAGAGGCAGGGATGGAGGTGCTGAGCTGCAGTTGTCACCTCAGGGACCACACAGCAGGTGCCCTGGAAGGTAACCTCCATGTCTCCCTTCACCTCAAGCTTGCCTGTGTTTTTTTTTCCCATTGCATGCCCAGACCTGCTTGTAAGGGGCCAGTTTGGTCACAGTTGGCTCTGAGGGTCCATCATGAGCCCTGCAGCAGCCGGGCTGTGTGCGGAAGGCCGGATGCAAAGTCAGGGATAATTCTGACCCCAGCTGAGCTTGCAAGGACAGGCACAGGATGCTCCATCCCTCTACCAATCCCAGCCCACCTTTGTGCACATTGCACTGTCCTGTGCCTCGGTTTCCCTATGTCAGGATGCACTGGCAGCCCCCCCTTTCCTGCGCCTGCCTGGGGGGTGGTGAGGTTGTGGGAAGAGCAGTGTCCCCCCCTCTCTCCCTCTCCTCTGGAGCCCACAGCTGGGGAATAAGTGAGGGCTGTGCCATGGCAGTGGGGCTGTGGGTGGTTGAACTGTGTGGGGACAGGGATGTTGTATCCCCAGGGCAGGGGAGGGAGGGGGCTGAGCACAGGGGGTATTGCTGGGAAAAGTTTGCTGGCAGCAGCCAGGAGTTGCTCTTGCTCACAGAGCAGCACCCCAGGGCTGGTCCCTGCCTGGAACAAGGCACATCCAGGCTCAGCCACCTCAGCCTTGGGGCGATGTAGGGTGTCTGCAGGGCTTCATCCCAGTCTGTCAGCTGGGAACTGCTCTGCTTGGCCCCTCTGGGAGCCAAACCTCTCAAAATCGTGTTGTATCCGTAGGTGAAATCCCTCTCTGCCCTTCAGGGGGTGCTGAGGGCAGGGCAGGGTCACCTGTGACCCCTGGAGAGGATGCAGGGATGGAGGGATGTGGGGATGCAGGGACGAAGAAAGGAAGGGATATAGGGATGAAGAGAAGAAGGGATATAGGGATGAAGAGAAGAAGGGATGTAGGGATGAAGGGATGCAGGACGAAGAAGGGAAGGGAAGTAAGAACGGAGGGATGTGAGGATGTGGGGATGCAGGGGCGGTGGGATGCAGGGCTGAAGAAGGGCGGGGAGGGAGGGCTGCGGGCACAGGGGGATCAGATGTGTCTCGGGCGGACCCTGGAGTCCCCAGCTCCCCGCCGAGCTCCCGCTCGGGCCGTGCGGCGGCGCCGGGAGGTGGCAGCAGCGGCCGAGCGCGGGGCCGCGCTGCGGAGGGAGATGCGGGGGGGTGTCCCCGCGGAACGGCGGGGCCGTGAGTCCCACGGGCATCCCCACTCTCTGCCGTTCTTCCTCCGCCTTTACCCCTTCCCGGGTCGCGGGGGCTCCGGAGGAGGGGAGCGGGGCTGCCCCTCGCCCAGCCCACCCAGGGGGATGCACACGGGTGAGGTCCGGGCACAGGAGGGGGCCGGACCGGAACCTGGGTGGGTCCGGCTGTGCTGGGCTCCTGGGTTCCTGCCCCTTCCCGTAGCTCCTCCATGGCCGGGGAGCGCCCTGCCGCGCTGGCACCGAGCCCTTCCCGAAATAGTTGTCCAAGCCGGGGCTGTAAACAGCGTTTCTCTCACCCTGCAGCCACCACCGGGTCCTGTGGGGCTCCCCGTGTCCCCCCTACCCTCTCTGTTGCTTCTTTTAGGTGTTCCTGGATTGTTGACTTCCCGACCCCTCTGCTGCACCCTGATGGAGCCCCCCCGGAGGGCCCTGGGAGGGGGGGACATGGGGAGCCATGGAGAGCAGCCCCCTGGGGCTGCCCCCCTCCTGCTGCGGGTGGGAACAGGTTTGGCCACATGTGGCATTCACTGGCCCCTCACCAGGGCTCCGGTGCCACTGCAGTGAGGGGTGCCCGCCGTTGCTGGTGTGGGGCACAGAGTTATTGCTCGGGCGGGATGTGACCTCCTCTAGGCCTGCGCTTGCTCCGGGAGCTGACAGCTGTATTTATGGGTTGGGTGGAAAACCAGAGGGTTTGGTCAAACGTCCCACAGGCCCAGGGCCTGCCCCTGCCCGCGGCTCGGACATGTCACAGGCACGCCTGGGGGGCTGCAAATGGTCAGCCATGGGGGACAGCCTGGGAGGGACACGGCTCGGTGGGGCGAGCTGCCTTGGCCGGTCATGGGGAGAGCTGTGAGCCCACCCAGTCACAACTCACCCTGGCCACAAGCCCCCTTCAGCCACAAGCCTCCTCTGGCCGTGATCCCCCCCGACCACGATCCCCCCGACCACGATGCCCTCGGCCACCAGCGCTCCTGGCCATGTTCCCCTCAGCCATGAGCCCCCTCATCCGCTTGTTCACCCACACACACCGTGCGGGCACCGGGGGCACCCGGACCTGCGCTGGCCGGGGGCACATGGAGATGCCCAGGAGTATCCTCGGGGCGGGGGTCCCGGGGTACCCTCTGTCCTCTCGCCCCCCCTCGCCGTGGGCTGTGCGGGGCTCTGCACCGATTACAGGCTGTATTTAAGGAAACCCGACCCAAACCCGCCCCCGGGGCTCGAGGAGGCGGCGGGGCCGGGCCGGGGGCGGGGGCGGGGGGTGCGCTGAGCTCGGCGGGTCCCAGCCCGCCCCTTCCCCGCCCGCCGCCGCCGCCATGGGCGCCGCGGGGCCGCTCTGCGCCCTGTTCCTGCTGCTGGGCACCGGCACCGGGACTGGGACCGGCACCGGGGCGGCCCCACCGCGAGTGGTGCTCGCTCTCCTGGCCCGGAACGCGCAGCACTCGCTGCCGCACTGCCTGGGAGCCCTGGAGCGCTTGGACTATCCCGCGGGGAGCATCGCCCTGTGGTGAGGGAGCGGGGGGAGCCGGGACCCCGCGGTGCGGGGAGTAGCGGGGATCCGAGGGGAGGAGGGGGGTGTGCGGGAATGGGGACCCCGCGGACAGCCGGGATGCTGGAGTTACAGGGATCACGGGGGGAACGGGGATGCCTGGGGGGAACGGGGGTCTTGGGGGATAAGGGAGACTATGGTGGGAATGGGGAGCCGAAGATAGCAGGGACCCGAAGGACAACGGAGCAGGGGGAACTGGAGTAGGGTAACTGGAAGCTCGGAGTGATCGTGGAGTAACGGGTGCCTCCATAGAGAGATGAGAGATCTGAGGGAATGGGTGCCTGTGGGGGAATGGAGACCCTGAGGGGACAGGGACACCCGGGAGGAACAGAGACCCCGGTGGTAGCAGCCCCGCCATCCCCAAAGGGTGAGGGGTGGCTCTGCCCCCGGTGTGGGACCCATCAGGGACCCGAGAGGGGCTGTGGCAGGACCCCCACCTTTCCTCTGAGGAAGCTGTGGGGCTGATGAGGGAGGGGAGCCCTGGGCTCGGGGGGTTCTGCATCCTCAGGGACCTGCCTTCCCCCTCCCTGCAGGGCTCACCCCCAATCCCCCTTCCCCAAAGACACCCCCCAAACCCCCTTTTACTATGCTGGAGGGGGTGGCTGGGGGAGGAATCCCCCCGTCCCTCCTCTTGGTCGCGCCGCCGCCGCCGTCTCTCGCCTGAGCTTGTCGGAAACTTTTCTGCAGCTGCTTTTGCGGGGAGCTGAGGCGGGGGCTGGCGAGGGGTGTCCTGATAGGGGTGGCTGGGTTGGGGCAGGGGGCAGCTGCCGGCAGGGGAAGAACGGGTGGAACTTGCCTTTGCCCTCTGCACAGTCGGAAGCCCCCAGCCCCAAGACCCTGCGGGGTGTTTCAAGAGCAGCCTGTGGATCTCGTGGGGGGGGCAGAAATCCCAGGGGATCCCTGTGACATCAGTGCCCGGCGGGTGGCTCAGGGCTCTTTGAAAGGTCGAGAGTGCCAGGGAGTGTGGGGACTTGGGGGTTGCCCCAGTGCAAGGTGGGTTCAGCCCTGTCTGGGCTCGAGTCTCTGTGAACATTGTTGTGAGGTTGAATGGGAGAGTTGGGAATGGCGACGGCGCACGGCAGAGGGAAGGTCTGGGGAAGGGGATGTTTTGGTGTCTGTTGGATCCTTTTCTCTGGCTGCTGGAACAGCAGGGTGCACAGGGGTGCAGTGGGGTTCAGGGGCAGGGGAATGAAATTTCTGTGCTCCGAGGCTCACGGTGGGCAGCCGCAGGGCTGGGATGGGGAGAGCATGTCCGAGGCTGCCACTGGGCTGCAGAGACGGGGGTTGAGAGCCATGGGACAGCCTCGCTGGCGGCACCACCGGGAAAGAAATTACCCGTTGGCTTTCCCTCTTCTGCCTATACAGCCTCGGTTCCTTCAAATTACATGTTACGTTCCCAAGCAAATCTGTCGCTGGCTCAGTCTTTTTGTCCCTGGGAGCATTTCTAGTGTGGGGTGGGTCCTGGTTGTCCCTTGGAGGGGACCCCCAGGGGCTGATGTCTCCTCACCCCAGGTGTGCGACAGACCACAACTCGGACAACACCACGGCGATGCTGCAGGAGTGGCTGGGGGCGGTGGGGAAGGACTATCACTCGGTGCACTGGAAGGTGCAGGAGGAGCCCAGGTGAGGCTGGGGGAGTGCTGGGGGGAGCCAGGTGTGGGCTGCGAGAGGCTCCTGGAGCAGCATCCCCCCGCCCCGGCTGGGAATGCTGCCAGGAGGAGGAGGGAGGCAGAGCAAGGCTGACTCAGTCTCGCGGCACGAATGGCCTGCACTGAGTTTGTGCGTTCCCGGCGGGCGGGGTTAACCCTTGCCTCCCCTCGCCCAGCTCCTACCCCGACGAGCTCGGGCCCAAGCACTGGAGCGACAAACGCTATGAAAACCTGATGAGGCTGAAGCAGGAAGCGCTCACCTATGCCCGGGAGCAGCAGGCAGACTACATCCTGGTAAGGGACACGGGGCTCTGGTGGGGTGGGGGCTGAGGTGTGCATCTCCACACCCCCAGAACCTGTGACATCCCCCCAGTTTATGGACACTGACAGCATCCTGACTGACAACCAGACCCTCAAGTTTCTCATGGCACAGAACAAGTCAGTGGTGGCCCCCATGCTGGACTCGCAGACCTTCTACTCCAACTTCTGGTGTGGCATCACACCCCAGGTACGTCCCTGGAAATCCCTGAGGAATGGGACACCCCCATGGCAGAGGAGCCCCCTGCCATGGAGGTGTCACACCAGTGTGCCACAGGGCTACTACCGCCGGACAGCCGACTACTTCCCCACCAAGAACCGGCAGCGGGTGGGCTGCTTCCCCGTCCCCATGGTCTACGCCACCTTCCTGATCGACCTGCGGAAGGAGGAGACGTCACGGTTGGCTTTCTACCCACCCCATCCCAACTACACCTGGGCCTTCGACGACATCATCGTCTTTGCCTACTCCTGCCAGGCGGCTGGTGAGGGTGATGGGGGCCCGGGGGGTGCAGGGGCTTGGGGGGGCTGTGGTGTTCACCTGTCCCACCTGGCAGGTGCTGAGGTCCATGTGTGCAACCAGCACCACTTTGGCTACATCAATGTCCCCGTGAAGGCCCACCAGACGCTGGAGGATGAACGTGCCAACTTTGTGCATCTCATGCTGGAGGCCATGGGTGAGCACCCACGGGCAGAGGGGTCCTGGAGGCATCCAGATCCCAACAGGGCTGTCAGCCCCAACTCCCCCCCAGGGGAATCTGGGCTCCACCGAAGGGGTGTCCCCTCTCTCCACAGTGGATGGCCCCCCCATGCAGCGCTCCAGGCACATTTCCTTCCTCCCCAGGCCGCTCACAAAAATAGGATTTGATGAAGTAAGTGCCCAATGGACCCCCTTATGTCTCCCTGTCTATCCCTCTGGTTGCACCCATCCATGGCAAAGCCCGAGCCCCTGTCCCCATCCTGCAGTAGCTGGGCAGGCTGTGTGTCCTCCTGTGACAATATGCCCCCTTGGTGGGGGTCTCCCTTCTCCTCCCCAGATCTTCCTGATCAACCTGGTGCGGAGGCCGGACCGGCGCCAGCGGATGCTGGCATCCCTGCAGGAGCTGGAGATCCTCCCACGGGTGGTGGATGCTGTGGATGGCAGGTGATCATGGGGGGATCACTTGGCCAGCCCCCCACTGTCACTCTGGGGAGGGGATGGGGGTGGCTGGTGGGGACACCTCACTGATGCAACCCCTCGCCTTGCAGCACCCTCAACAGCAGTGACATCAAAGTGCTGGGGGTGGACCTGCTCCCTGGGTACTACGATCCCTTCTCTGGCCGCACGCTCACCAAGGGCGAGGTCGGCTGCTTCCTCAGCCACTACAATATCTGGAAGGAGGTATGGGACCACGGGGGGCATGAGGTCCCTACAGGGGTAGGGACCCTGTGAACATCACAGGAGGACTTGGGGAGAGGAGCGTCCTGCAGGGTGAGTGGCACCAATATGTCCCAGAGCAGCGCTGGGATGGGTTTGCACATCTGCCCCCTCTCCCAGATCGTGTCCCGGGGGCTGGAGCGGTCGGTGGTCTTTGAGGACGATGTGCGCTTTGAGGCCGCCTTCCCTGCACGGCTGCAGCGGCTGATGGACGAGCTGGAGCGGGCACAGCAGGACTGGGACCTCATGTAAGTCCCGGGAGGGATGTGGGGTGGGGTCCCCAGGGCTGGCTCTTACAGCTTGCTGGCCACCCCACAGCTACCTGGGGAGGAAGCAGGTGAACGACGAGGATGAGGCGCCCGTGGAGGGTGTGCGGAACCTGGTGGTGGCCGGGTACTCATACTGGACACTGGCCTACGCCATCTCCCTCCGTGGGGCACAGAAGCTGCTGGCCACCAAGCCCCTCTCCAAAATGCTGCCAGTGGATGAGTATCTGCCCATCATGTACGACAAGCACCCCAAGTAAGGAGCAGGGGGTGCAGGAGGGTGCTGGCATGGCCATGGTGGGGAGGGAGCATGTGTTTCTTCTCCGCCGTCACCGTCCCACCCGGTTCCCCCCCCCCCAGCGTTACTCATGCTGGAGGAAAACGTCTGTAGCATGAGCTCATTCCCTGCCGGCCTCTGCCTGGCCACCGGCCGCTGGAAAATGGCCCCCTGCCAGTGCGGGGTGGGGGAACAGGGCTGGAGCTGAGGCTCAGTGTGGGCCCTGCATGGGGGTCTTGGCCCCATGGCAAGGAGAGAGCAGCCCCCTGTGCCCTGGTGCTGGGGGGCTGTATGGTCCCCTGCCTCTGGTTGTGGGATTCAGGCACTTGAACTCCCCTCTCTGGGGTGGGTGTCACCAGTAAGGTTGTGTCTGGGGAGGGGGAGGCATTTTAGGGGGTGGGTGAGCACTGGTGTCTGGGTGTGCTGTGAGAGAGGGAGGTGAGAGCCAGGATGGAGAAACACAGGGGTCAGGCATGTAAAAGGCAGCTGGAGGTGGATGGAGGGGCGGATTAGTGCTCTGGATATGCACCAGGAGCAGCTGGAAGTCCCATGCTTGCAGGGATAACAGCACCAGACAGCCTTGGCCCCGGGCCAGCCGGATGCTGTGCCAGAGGCCCCCTCCATGCCAGAGCCAGCCCTGTGCCACCAAGACTAGTGGGGAGAGATGGGTCCTGGCCCCTTTGCAGTCCCTCCACAATCCATGTCCAGCCAGGCTCTGCAGGCAGCAGTGGCACAGGGCAGCCACCTACTCAGCTACCTTCCCCAGCCCACTGCCTGGTGTCCCTCCCCATTCCCTGCCCTCCATGGAGCCTTTCCGGGGTGGTTGGTATGGTTCTCCCAGTGCTTTTTCTTCTCTGTGCCTTGCTCTGTAAGCAAGTTTCTTCCCTCGGGTCTGTTCCACTCTCCCTAGTGAGGATTACAAGCGGCACTTCTCCCCCCGGGACTTGCTGGTGTTTTCAGCTCACCCACTCCTGGTTTATCCCACCCACTACGCTGGGGACAGCAACTGGCTGAGTGACACTGAGACCTCCACCATCTGGGATGACGATGCCAAGAAGACAGACTGGGCTGGCTCGCAGAAGACCCTGCGGGACTCACGGGGCAGCGCCGGCCACCTCCGCTCCACTGGCCACGACGAGCTCTGATGGTGAGCAGGGCTGTGGGACCTGGGCACGGGGGACAGAGCATCTGAGGAGCACCTGTGAGCCCCATGTTCAGATGTGTCCTGCATACCTGGTTTCTTCTTGTCATGTGGCAGCAGCTCTCCCCATCAAAGCACTGGGAAAGAGATGGGACTGTCTATTCCAGGTGGGGAAAGGGATGGGGACACACATGTCCCATGTGGGGCTGCAGAGGACCAGGGAACCAGGTCTTGCTGCTTCCCAAACCCTCAAGTGAGGAAGGGACAATGCTCCTCCTCCTGCTGCAAGTCACCTCAGCTGGGAGAGCTGGGAGTGTCTCCCAGGGGAATGTTTCACCCCGGCACTACTTGCTGCCCCCAAAAGCAGGCCTCCCTGGGGCTGCATCTCCGTGCAGGCAGGTGAGAACCAGCACTGGCTCAGCCCCGGGGCAGCACGGCCACAGTTAACGCTGGGTCAGACTTTCCCTGTCTGAAGTTGCTTGTCCTGGCAGCAGAGCCACCCCAGGAGCTGCCAGAAGACCGGGAGAGGCTGGAAAACAGCCCTCCCACCGCCTCGGCTGCAGGCGTGAATGCGTCGGGGCTGCTCCAGCTGTGACCGCTAACGTCTGTGTTGTGCCTCCCAGGGATGAGGGATCGTGACCCAGCTGGGAGCACCGCGGGCCTGATCCTGCCCACTCCTACTCCAGTGATGCAGTTGCCCTGGACAGACCTCCACGGGGTTCTTCGAATCTGACTGTTACAAATCCAACCTAAGGCAGGATTTGCCTCAGGAGAGCCTTTCCCTGCCAGGTGGAGTGACCAGCCAAGCGCTGTCTCTGCTGAGCACACGTCTCCAGGACTGCCCCAAGTGATGCCAACTCTGCCACCAGCTTGGACTTTTGGGAGTGCTTTTCAGGCTGGGGGCTGGCTCCTGCAGTGGCACATGTGGCCTCCTGCCACTGACTGGGTTGTCCCTCGTGCCATGTCTGGGCTGAAGCCCAGGGAGGATTAAAGCAGACTGTGATTGAGCTGACCTGCTGGGTGCTGGCATTGCCCCATGTCCCCAGGGCGTTATCCCATCAGGGTCACCTCGGAGCTGCAGGAACAAGGGTCTGGCAATTCCCTCAGCCAGGAATTGCTTTGGAAGTGAAATCCATAAGCGGGAAAGGGTGAGGAAGGGATGGCAGGTTGGGAACACCTTTGTTTCCCTGCCTGTCCCCTGGTTGCAGGTAGCCTCAGTGCTCCAGGAGGAGCTCAGGAGCTGGGAATGGAGCAGAGGAAGGTCTGGTGCCAGCTGGAGCAGAAGATGGAAGTGGCAGTAGTGCTGCGGTGCACGTCACCCAGCAAGGGTCCTGGTGCTTGTTCCGGTGCCCGCTGGGACGCAGGCGAGGAGCTGCCCGTGCTGGGGGTCTCAGTACTAGCGGGGTATGGAGCTGGGCAGGATGTGCCAGCAGAGCCCAGGGCTCTGGGACACGGCAGTGTTGGGTACATATTGCCTCTCAGACTGCCCTCTCCACCACGAGACTGCAACGGGTCTGGGAGGAGGAGCCAGAACTCCTGCAGCTGTTGGAAACTCCAGGGTTTTGGCTTCAAACCACTGAACTCAAAACACTGTGAGGCCAGCCCTGAAACTTGCTGCAGCTCAGTGGGAGCAGCACGCTATGAGATTCTAGGTCGCTCGTGCTTGCCACAGTTTCTCAACAAAAGTGACTGTGGACCCTATGGAAGTTGCTCCCATTGCTTCCCACTTTCCATTGGAAGCATCCCTCCAGCGTGGGCTGTTGGAACAAGGGTGGGAACATGGATTTGAGCTGCAGTGCCAGGGACAACCCAAGCTCAGCAGGTGGCGTGTGGAAGAGAGGCAGGAGCAGGGCAGAGTTGGGGCAAAGATTTATTTAAATTCTGTGCCAAACTGCTGTGGAGCCATCGCAGTGATCTCAGTGGGACATGAGCTGCCCAGATCTGTGCTGGGACAGAGGGGGCTGTCCCAGAGCCTGGCAGGGCCAGCTCTGCTCCGCACCACGGTCCCTCTGGAGAGCCACAGTGCTCTGTCCATGGGCCACGCAGGTCCCCAGGGGTTCCTTTCAGCCCCTGTCTCCTGCAGGCACTCGGCTCTGGATGTGCTCCAGAAGGCAGGTCACTGCCTGGGCCAGGACCTGCTCCAGCTTCTCCTGCTCCTCAGTGCTGAATGGAGCCAGGACGTAGCTGGACACTGTCACTGCACCCTCTGGCCGCCCGATGCCGACCCGGAGCCGGGTCATATCCTGCAGAGGAAGGAGGAGAGCTGAGGGAACTGCCCCTCAAGGGCTGAGACAGAGCTGGGCAATGCTGAGAGTGGGGCTGGGCAGTGAGGGAGCAGCTCCTCATGTTTTCCAGGTGGTTTTGAGTGCTTGCTCCAAGAAACATGATTTTGGAAGAGGCTTTTGCTGGGCTGTGTTGAGATCTCAGGCTCCTGCCAGGCCTGGCAGAGCTGCTCAAACTAATTGTTTCCATGTCCTCCACAGCAGCCAAACAGACATCAGCCCTCAGGGAAGGAGGGGAAGGAGAAAAGGGGAGAGAAGGAGCAGCAGCTTGTCAGAAAAAGGGGAGTGGGGAGACAAGCCATGCATTGAGGTGAGGGCAGGATTGATCCCGTTCCACCAAGGCCCACTCACACTGGAGTGCAAAGCACTGATGCAGGACTGGACCCCGTTGTGTCCCCTTGGGAAAGAAGGAGAAAATCCATGGTTAGTTTGCAAGAGATCCCCCCCAAGTCTTGGGGTCTCCTGCTGCAGGGATATGGGGCTGTGGTCCCAGCCAGGAGTTGCAGTCTCCATGCCCTGCCTCTGCAGGAACATCCAGATCTGGGGGCTCAGAGCAGCCGGCTGGGGGGGACAAGGGAAGCAGGGCTGGGACAGCACGTTCTGTGTGTCTCAGTTCTCGCTGCAGCTGGTAAGTGTTTGTGTGACTGAGTGCTGGGGCCCAGCACCATCCCTGCCCATCCCACGGTGGAAGATTTCCTGGGTTAAATGTCTCCAGGCTGACCCACGAGCTGGCACTGGGCAGGCACAGCGCTATAAAAAGCCCATGCGGTACAGCCAATGGGCTGGATCCAGCCCACAGCTGCTTCCAGGAGGCTCCCTGCCCTCCCTGCCAGGGTAGGAACTGGGAGGCTGCCCAAACAGCCAGATGTTGCCTCTGCAATGGATCGACGCTGGGGCTGAAAACACTGCAAGGCTGGTGGGACAGGGCCAGGAACAGCCCATGTGCCTGTGAGGGCATGTTAAAGCCTCAAACCATCTCATACAGAGCTGGGGACACCCCATACCTTGCGCTGCCTCCCAGCTTGATCGCCACCTTGCCCAGGGCCTTGTCCAGGTCATCGTGAACCAGGTAAATGTCTTCTGGGCCAAGGTTGTAGATCTCAGCTTTAGAAACAGAAATACAACCCAAGGAATGAGGGGAAGACAGAGTCACCAGTCCCTGACCCTGCAGGGTGGGGCTGCAGTGACCCGTGCAGGGCAGGGGGGCAGCAGGGCTGTGACAGGGCCCGGTGACCCAGCGGGGTGACCCAGCCGCTCACCGGCACTGGCGACGCTGAGCCCGTTGAGGTTCATGAACCTCCGCGGCTTGAGCAGCACCAACTCCAGGCCGTGGGACGTGGCCAGGGCCACGTCGGCGCAGCACCGCCTGTCCACTCGCCAGCCATCAGCCACTGCCAGCTGCCGGGCCAGCCTGTCCAGCACCACCATGCCCACGCTGTGCCGCGTCCCACACAGACCGTAGTTGCCCAGGCCGGCCACCTGCCCAACAGGCATCAACAGGGCTCTGATGGGCTGCCAAGAGCCCCTGCACGGGCCTGATCCACCCCTTCAGCCCCGCTCCCCCCACAGTCCCCGCAGCTGGCTGGGTCCTCTCAGCCCGAATCTCCCCGGTGCTCCGCTCACAGCCCCGACGCCCCTCGTTCCTCCCAAGCCTCGCTCCCCCCGCAGTGCTCCCCTCACATCCCCGCTCCCATCACATCCCCGTTCCCATCACATCCCCGCTCCCCTCGCAGCCCTGCTCCCCTTTCAACCCCGTCCCGCCCACGGCCCTGATCGCCCCGGTGCTCCCCTCTCAGTCCCGTCCCCCCCACTCCCCTCAAAGCCCCGATCCCCCCGTTCCCCCCCCCCCCCCCCCCCCCCCCCCCCCCCCCC